CTCGAAACCAATGGGAATTGTTTCTCCATGCTTTTCCCATTCACTCATGTCTTCTTCATCCAAATGCACCATCCCAATCTTCGTTCCACTCCCAATTTTCTTCATAAATCCCGGTACCTCTAGCTTACTCCCATTCATCCCCTTCCTTTGCTTCTCTGTTTTCTCCAAAATCGCCTTTATCCTCACCCCTGTTTCCACCTACAAACAATCAAATTTAATTCAACCCAAAATGTAAAAACCAAAAAACAAATGATATCCACACGAGTAGAAATACAATGAGTTATGTATTCTCTGTTCTCCGACGTAGGAGAGCACACCCAGATCCCCTGTCTAGCACCGAAACCGTAGATCTACTTCCTAGGTCAGACCCAAATGCCCTTCATCCACCACCCATGTCATTCGAATTCCTTCCTCTCACTCATACTAGTCCGCCTCCACTCACACCTGCTTCTTTCCTGATCTCCCTCTTCCATCGACAACCAGACCCAAGTCTCCCTCCACTCAGCCCCTAGGTCTCTTTTCCATCACCTCCAGATCTTTGTGTCAGCCGTTCCTCCCTCGTCCCCTTCGATAATCAGACTAATGGGGGCTTCATCGCCGTCGGAGTGCGGAGAAAATGTAGGGTTCGAAATTGAAATCCATGGGTTTAGATATGAATTTGAAATACATGGTTTTTAAGTCTTTCAAATACACTGGTTAAAATACACGTACTTTCCTTAAATCTAATTACATTCTATTTAGGGTCCGTTTGGTGTAGCTGGAACTTTTAATGGAAGTACTTTTTATAAAAATCTAATATGAAAGTCTTTTTTTTAAAAAGTAAAAGGTGTTTGGTAAAATTTTTTGCTGAGGAATTTTTAAAATGTAAAGTTGTTTGGTAAATTTTGTTATAAAAGGTCTTTTAATCTTAAAATGATTGAAAAGGACATTTTGTTTAAAAAAGCATTGTTTCTTTTTTATTTTGATATTTTTATAGAGCTTTAATTTCATTATGTTAAAGTTGATGATTATAAATGAAATTTTTATATTTATAAAATATAAATACTACTAATATATTTTTAATATTAATAGAGAAATAAAT